GATTTCAATATTTTGTTTATAATGATTTTCTCTAAACGTGTTAACATTTTCAAAAAATTCTAAGTATTGTTTAATTATTTGTATAAGCATTATAGAGTTTCTTTTAGTTTTTATTTGGTTTTATACGGAAAAGATTATTATTTTGGTTGTGGAGAAATGTTTGAACATTTTCTCGAAGTTTATCATAAGTTAATTTTGAGATAAAAAAAATAACTAAATTTAGCGTAATTTAATGGTTTTTATGAACGTTTAAAGTTAACATTTTTACGAAAATCATCAAAATATATTCTAAATGCACCACTGCCTATGTACTTGTGTATAGTGTTTGAAGTTTGAAATATATTCGAATTAAATACATCGCCAATATGTGGAATATTGGATTTTGATTAATTATTAAACAATAATTTAATCCTTCTGCCGAAAAAATATAAGGTTCTCGCTAATTTAGGAGATAATTTGATAATAATATTATCATTTTTTAAAGTTAAAATCAACTTTATACTAAAATGATTTAACTTGTATGTTAACAAATTAATAAATATGTCCATTATGTATTAATATAAAGGCCGTAATAATAATAACCTATTATATTTCAAGTTTTTTACTATTTCCATTGCATTGCACGCTTCACTATGCTTCAGTCATAAATTCAGCTTTGAATATTACTTTGTATTTAACTGTTTTTGTTTGATATCGAAATTATAAATTTTAGTATTTATCATTTTCATTGGTAATATAGGTTTAGTATAAAAATGTTAAAATAATAAAATCTGAATGATTTGGTACCTAAACAATGATATTGTATACTTTATCAATTTATGTATGAATAGATGAAAGATAACAAATAAGTATATTTTTAATTAAAAATTCTATGGTGAAAATATGAGAAACGTTTTTTTAACGATTGGTCTGGTGATGGGAAAAATTTGCCTCTTAAATTGTTTGCACATCCTTAAAAAAAAACTAAAATGGCGTCCCAGTTTTGATTCTTTATTTTGATAATATTATCCTAACCATAGATAATGCATTATATATTATCTCGGAATTAAAAATGTATAATAAAACTACTTTTAATCTATTCTTTACCCTTATCACCATTGAAATATGCAAAAACGCGAAGATAACTATCATTTGTGTGTTGCACGCTGAACCGTACACGCCTATGAAAATCAGAAACCGTCAACGAGCTTAATAAATACTGTCTCCGAGTTTAGACTACGAAAAGTAGATTTGGTGTTATAATTTTTTAATTAAACTTAAACTTTGTTGCTGATTAAAGCATACGTGCATGCATATAGATAAGTAAAAAAATAATATTATGTAAGTTAATTTAAATAAATTAATAAATTTCGAGTAAATATTTTTTGTATGTTAAATATATTCTAAGTTAATATCAAAGGACCCCTCCCCCCTCAGAAAGAAGTTCATAAACCACCACTGGTTATATGTAACTAATATGTAAACGATTCGAAATAAAGCGAAACACTATTGCTTATTTGACATAGGCGCGTTTTTAGTATCAGATATGTGACCTACATAAATTATATTACCACGGGTCATTTACCTACCACGGTATATTGAACATAAAACTTCACTAAACATTTGTCGCATTCTTTAAATTGATAATATTTTACGTCAGCGTTAAGAAGAAAACAAATCGAAAATACTCAATTATTATTGATTTTTTTTTTGAATTTTTTATCAATGGTGCTCAAATTCGGATAAACAGGCAAATTTAAGCGGTTGTGTAAAAACAAAAACTTTATATTTTTCTTGAAACGTTTTAGTTATTCAACATTTTCCCAAAAATACCTTTACCTAAAAACATCGGTCTTCAAGTGATGATAAGACGTTTAGCAGAATCTAAAAAGGCACATTGAAGAGAGCAAATGGTATCAATTAACCTATGAAATATTAATTGATTATACTATGAGATATGAATTATGTTATGAAATAGAAACCGAAGTACACTTGATTGAAACAATATTTCAAGTATTGTCATATTATCAAATGTGTATTCATATCACATAATTCATGGTACAAACAAATTTGGCATGGGTTAATCAATTAAATTTGATCTTCCAGACTTTAATTTATTACCATATAGAGTCGGCTATCCATAGTTGTTTATCTATATCTCGCTAGAGTAAAATATGTTATTCTAAACGGGTATAAGAGTCGGGAAATCGGACAAACTGCGCCTAAATAACGCGCAAAGTCAAGATACACATTAAATTACAGTAAAACAATTTGACGACAAAGCAACAATATTGTACTACTATTCTAGGACGACCACTGACCATACAAGTACGTCCTATTTTATGCAGGATTGTCCTTTTTTTCAGCTTTGTATATTGTTGTTCCAGATGAACTTCTTTCAGAACGCTTTTTGTCCTGTTTTTTTTATGCTGATGCCAATTATTTCGTATTAATCCTTATTTTAATTAATTAGATCTAAATATTTTACAGTTTCAACATACAGATTAAAAGTGTATTTTATTTTTGAATAAAACAAATTTGATGATCAAAATATTCGTTATAGATTATAACAGTGATTTCGATTGTATCCGTGAAAAATAATGACCACAAGAATCGATACCGGTGATAATACATCTAAGGTATACAGGCGTGTTAAAAATAGTTAATAATATTGGCATAGTTATGAAAAATTAACAAAAACAAAACTCTAATAATTTATAAATATTACTTTGAATGTCTTACTGAAATTGTTTTATCCTGTTTATTTTAATTGCGGTCACCCTATACTATACGATGTACGCGATATTTCCGCACCGAAATGTCAATTTTCAGCGCACGTATAGGTAGCCAGGTAGGCAATGTACAAAATCCGGCGACGGGTTTGAAACCGCGAAAACGGAATAGGTACATAATATTATTATATATGTCATACATATATAGAATAAGGCGAGGGGAAAAAAAATAACATCGTATTGGAAAACGTAGGGGAAATGTCCGGAAACGCGCGGTGCTCTTGTTTCTGTTAAATTTTCAACGGTTGTAACTAAAACGCGTTGTGAAATTCGCGGGCGGCGGTGGTGGTGGACATCTATAGAAAAACGTCAATCAATCGCATACGCGCAAGCATTACACGTGTATCGTTATCGTTCCCGGCCTACCGAAACAAAAATCACGTAACGGCATCGAGGATAATAATAATAATAATTTGACGCGCACGCACGTCCTAAGAAAAAAAAAAAAAACGTGATTATCGTCCGAAAAAAACGAAAGCAAAGCCATGCGAAATATACGAAGCCCAGCCGGTAGTATGGTAGTATGGTATTATGGTCGTATACGAGTACAACATAATATCAAAAATCTAAAAATCGCCTCGGCCGCGCGTATTGTTCAGTGAAATTGCTCGAAAATCACGCGGTACCACCGTTTATGCCGGTATCGTTTTCGATTTTAATATCGTACAATATTATGATATACAGAATGATCGACTTATCGCGAACCCGCAGCGATTTTCTCAAAGGCATTTAAGAGAATTCGATATCAGGTTTTTCCCCCGCCCCCGAAGTATGAAGTAGAGAAACCCATCTCCACTCCTCCGATCTAAATTCTAAACTGTTATCACGCATAAACGGTAAATCGATTATTAGTGTTATACACATTATAATGTTCTCTTTTCGAATCCGTGATTAAAAAGGGAGGTTTTTTTTTATTTAAAATAAAAGTGTATATAATTCGTTTAAGGTGTCTGTGAAAAATTAAAAATGATTTTAAAATAAAGTTTTGAATGATTCTATAATGGTTAAAAAAAAAAAATGAAATTCACTTGAAATCCTCCGAGAAATTTGCCGGTTTTTGATAAGTGGATTACACTGTATACCCACTTACTAGGCAGTAAATCCGCATATTTGACGCGGAAATAATTTCGTCGTGGAAATTCATAAGTGTCACGGCGGTAACACCGAAATCGGCGAGGTTTTTCTTCTTTTCTCTTCGTTTTCTTGTTAGGTTATTATTACGGCGGCAGTGCGCGGTGTCGTCGAAAAGATAACGTCAATTATTATTGTCATCACCGTAGGTTGTATTTTAGAGAATCTTTGATTCATCGCGTAACACAATCTGCGAATTACATAACGGTTAGTGGTTACCAGTATATTTAAAAAAAATGCTGTACGTGGTTTGTAATTTTTCAAACCGATAAATCCGAATACAATTACGAACGCTGTAAACCGGAAACTGGGTGATCGGAACAATCGGAATAATGGTTCAATAGATTTTCTAAATTGTCTCCAATTTTGTGAAATCTGAAAATTCTTTTTTTTCTAATTCTTAATGGTCACTAATCTACTGCGCGGTACCCATTTAAAGGGGCAGAGGTACGGCTGTTTTTAAGTTATTTATGAACGTTTACCAACACCCGACAAAAAAATATTATTACTTACAGTAGTTCGTTTTTAAAAATGAATATTAGTTTGAACCCATAAATAAGTTTACTCTGCATCGCACATTAAACGCACTTAATGCATTAAGTGCGTGTAACGGTTAAAAAGTTAAAAGTTGAATTTGTTTAAGATATTATAATGGCAAGATGACAAAGAGAAACGTGAATATGAAAAACTTCCAGAAGGACCCGCACCTGTCGACGGCACGAATGTGTTTGTTAAACAAACGGGTTAATTCAGTAACTGTTGTACTTAAAGTGTATATGAAGGGAAAGAGGCGCGAAATTAGTTTAATTTTCAAAATGGTCTTCTGAAAAATGTAAAAGCGTCCATGTATACGTTTCGTATAGTACGTTATGAGCACGTTTGAACACATTTTGCCTTACTTAATGGTAATAAAATAATAACAAGAACAATAATAGAGTAAACATATAAATAAATAGTTGAACAAAACAAAAAAAAAAAAAAAAAAAAAGGGGGGAATAAACGAGTAAATAAATAAACAGTCACATAGAATTAAGTACATAGATAAATAATAATAGAATAAAATAAATTGTTGTTTTCAAGCTGTTGTTTGAGGTGTTGTTATAATGTAACAACATCCAGTTCCTCTATCCATTTTACCGCTTCTTCTCTCGCTTGATGAATGTCGTGCACGGAGCCTGTGAATGCTCGCAAAGAGCATTCGTTTACGGTGTGGCTAGTCGTCCGTGATTCATGTCCACAGTCACATGATTCGTCCATAAGACCATAGTATACTTAAAACTTAAAAAGAGGTCGCGCACGTAAAACAATTTTATTTTTATTTTTTTTTTATTTATCGTAAATCAGTAGATTACATATTACTTATACGGGCTATAATATAATTCATACTAATTTACTAATATGCTGTACTCGAGTGAAAATGCTTATATAACCCATTTAGAACCAGTGACGTCACAGACAAATTTCGAAAGAGCGTGCATTTAACAAAAATAACCACCTAGCCGCTATTTGTTTTCCTTTTAAGCCTCCCAGTAACATAAATACACTAGTAATCTACACCCACCTTCCCACGGGAGCGCATTCAGTTACCATCGATGCACCGCTGTTTAGAGTCTTCGCTGCTTCCATTATTTCACACCGTCATTCCCTATTCACATTTTCCTCTAATCTCGTTACTTGTGCACGTTTTTCAGGGTCAGTCTTTAGCGTGTGTATCTTTGCTTAGGCCACATCTAGATCCCCTCTTGGTATCTCATTATCTCTCCATAACCTGTCCATTCTAATCAATTCTTCGGGATACTCAAAGACTTTTACTTGTCACTTTCATAGTTACCGACCATGTTTCGCACAAATTCAATAGGACTGATTTTATTAGGTTGCTCAAGTACTAGAGGAAGAAATACCCAAGCAGCCCCCCCCCTTCAGTCTGGCTATTTATTGTAAAACAAAAAAGTAACTCAAACATCGGCAATAATTAAATTATTTAAAAAAAAAAAAAAGCCACGGTCACCACAGCATTCGACTGACCCAACGGTGGTTTATCATCGTGGCCGCAGTTCGCTTTCAATCATAACAATAATAATAATATAATACTCTAATACTATTACGTGGTGTGTGGTGAAATAATTCAATATTAAACCAACATTGCAGTTATTATGATACTGTCGAGTGTGTAATATTTTCTAATCCTAAGTAGGTAATAATAATAGACGGGACAGAATGAACGGCTTACAAAAAAAAAAATAATATACATTATACACTCGTCGACAACAATATTCACGCCAGTAAAAAAGTTATGACTAAGCGAAATTAAAACATACCTGATATTATAATATAATATTATTGCGTTTTGTTATATTCGGACTTGCGGACTTGGAAAACGGTTTCACGTGGTGTTATGATAGTATGCTGTCGAACGGTCTTAATTTGACAGATCTGAATAGATCATCTATAAATCGTGCACTGCCGAGATTGGAGTACCTAAGTGTACCGTTATAACAATAGTTATATTATGTAAACGAAAATATTTTTATTTTTTTTTTTTTTTAACATTGAAATGAATGGATTGGTTTTTTTATAATATTATAGTATGTAAGGTGACTGAGTTGGGGAGAGAGGAATCGAAGGATAGTTTTCCTAGTCTTATCTAAAAATATGTTGTCTTAAATCTTAACTAAATCATTTTTATTACTTCAGCGTTCCCCTTATAGTTTTATTCAAATTCAAGCACACCGTATTTGATATAAAGTTTCCGAAAATTATTTTTGTTCTTTGTGAGTTTGAGCTAAAAAGTACTTATAACACACATTTAAATATTTAATAATTTCGATGTTTACAAGATTTTTTTTTCAATTGATGAAAATAAAAATTGTTTGGATATGAAAAACATTACAAGGAATTCATCATAACCATAATTCATAAGTAGTAAATTTCAAGTACCATTCAAGCCGGTAAAAAAGTCGAAAGTATTGAAAGTATTGAAAGTCGAAAATATTATCACAGCTTTTTTTGTCTTATATAAGCATGTTCAAATGACAAAGTATTTAGGTCATTTTGATGAACATTACAAACCATAAAATATAATGTGACCCTACAAATAAGGAAAAAGTTCTTGGAAGCATGTGTGTGGAGTGTGGTCTCATAGCTCAAAGAAATATGCAACTTGAACAATTGGTACGCATGAAGAGAAAATAAAATTAGAGGATTTTGAAATTCGATGTTATAGAAAAATGCTTAAGATTCAGTGAACATAACGAGTAACGAATTTGCAAAAAAGTACTAGATGAAGAAAAAATAAAGGAAAACCGAGAACTTTAACATCATATTATAGTATTAAAGTCAGATGGAACAAAATAATAGGGTATCTACTGCGTAACGATAGTTCGAAGAAAAGAGGTCATGGCTCTCCCTACCTCCCAATTGTTTAAAGAAATATTATATTACATTATTATAATAATGTGATTTAATGTAAATCGTAAATTAATTTCTATGTAAGGATTTTAAATACCTTAATTAAACATATCGATCTTTCCCACTAATCCGAAAGTTTTTTCTGGTTACGGTCATGCTGAAAGCAATTATAAGGATTTAAATGGATTGAGTTACGGAAGAAAATCGTAAAGTTCAATAGCAAATCAATCGGATATTTGAAGATAATAAGAGAAAATAAACGGACATACTTCGCTGATGGATGGGCCACTGTTGTATCTGTACGCAACGGTTAATGATTGCTAACAAAAAATTATTCTGAGTGTAGTTCGGTTATATTTACGATTTGAAAATAATACATTTTGTAATTTTGCCCGTTTTTCCTATATTTTTTTTTTCCATTTATTATGAAAATGCCTGAAAAAATCTAATAAATGTTTGATTGAAAAATTGTTTACAAAAAAAAAAAAAAAATAAACATCATTATAAAACCAATACATTCCTCGTTATGTTCAAAATCTAAAAGTTCAAAATAGTATATGTATATTGCAACATCAATCCTTAAACAACATTGTCACGTCTCATTATGCCAACTGACTGCCGTAGTTCAAAAATAATTTGTCGACAATGACAATAATTTATTTTAATCAACCATCATTAATCGTACGTAATACGGTGTATAGCGAATTATTGATTATTCGATTATATTGTTATCCATCTATACGTATAATATTCTATTGTTATTGTTTATTATTATTATAGTATGACCTGGTGCTCAACGTGACATTTCTGAACTTTCTACACACCTCATGATATTGCGAGTACAATAAGAAGATGTAGAAAACTTAAGCTATGTTCGATTTGGTGTTCGTATTATTCACCGCCATAGAACAAATAGCTTCGGGCCTTGTCAGGATAAAAATTAAGAAGTAAAAAGAATCAAAAGAAAACAAACCGACATGCTTTCAAACATATATTACTGCCGACAGTAATATGTCTGATTTCGGCTATTTACAGCGCGAAAAAAATCATATAGGTAAAAGTATAAGTGTACGATACAGATGGCTTAAGGAGCTATAGCCCCCCCCCCCCCAAATCTCTTCTTGTCCCATCAACATTTTTTTTTTTTATAGCTTCCCTTATAAAATGAACATGCGAGAAAAGATTTGTTCGTGTATAAAACATCGTCAGTTTTTTGCCGATACATTTAACATAATACAATGAAACGCATGTTTAAACTGTTTATAATGAGTACCGATTTGAAACGGCCGGATATTCAGTCGATTCGTGCGTATTTCGCTACATTTTCAATGTATGAAAAAACCGGATATATGTTATACAGGTAATGATAACAATTATGAACAACCTGTGCGTCAGTACTAAGGTAGAACAGCTAATGTACGCGGTTCGCGAAATTATTGTTATATAGGTATAACAATCCAAATTTTAAGAGAGCAATGCATCAATATAGATTTAATTATTTTGACGCGTATTCGTTTTTTTCTGTTGTTATATTGTTATTTATTATTCGATTACTGTGCGGCATTTTGACGATGATTTTAAAATTTTGCCCTTCAAAAACTTGTTACTATACCTTACTCGAAAATTAAATACGGCTGGGTGATTGTGAGAACATGATCATATTAAAAAAAAAAAACACATATATTATAAAAATTCGAAATAATCGCTTGGCGCGTAAACTAGCTTACCGATTAGTTTTACATGAAAATTGTCAATCCAGCTCTCGGCGCCAATTTTACGCGCCGCACGAAACTGACATTTTTCCCAATGCGTATAATAAACAAAGCGCAAAATAATTACGAATTAGGTAACGTATTCAGTGGATATTGTTTACAGCGATTTTTTCCCACCATTCCGGTCGCAATAAAAAAAAAAAAATCGAGGAGGTCCTCCAACGACCGCGTCTCATTTCGGTCGAACGTGTTCGGGATAATTCTATTCAGTCACTAGTTATTATAGTCCGCGCACAATCGTTTTAAATCCGATACCACCGCACTCGAGAATTCGCAACTAAACCGTTGACATTGTTTTAGTAATTCGTCTGTAAACGTATATGTGATATTGTTAACTTTACGTTTTTCGTCAACGTCGATCGATTTAACACAGCGTTTTTCCCGCGACCGTCGGCCAACAGAAGTTCGGTTTACAACATTAATTTCCAACTAGAAGCAACTAATTTCCTGGCACATAATACGTTATACTCTTTTATACATATAAAACAGGTAAATAATTCCAGCTATTTGTGATTATAATAAATTACAAAAATATGTAGGTACCGCAGAACCATACGAATCTATGTTTGTTGGACGACTTAATGAAAAATCCCGTTCACATGCAAAATTTAAAATAAACCTGAAAATCGTCGTTTTGAACTTACAAACGTTTGGTTTTCAGGTTCATTACTTAGATAATTAGGTCTGGTATAATCTTTAACTCAAAAATGATAGTAACATTGAACGATTTATTTTTAATTTATAGGTCATTTTTTGTACCTTAAAAAAAGTGAAAAAAATAACTGACATAATATACAAGTTCTTAGTAAATTGTATTTTTAACCTTGAAGTAACATTCTTTTTTCCTCAGACTGATAGACTTAAATTAACAAAAAATAATTTTAAAAAAAAAAACTGATACTGGACTGGTGTGCCATTGTTGTGGGTGGGAAGTTGGAAAGATAGGGTACGCAAAGTTGTTTAATTTAAAATTTTAACCTACGATAAACCATTGCTGACAAAATACGATTCAAAGCAAAGTTCAATTACACATAATTTGAAAGATCGTAGTTTTTACGATCTTCGTCAACATTTTATATTAACTTACAGAGTATGACTTTTAAATTTTTAAAATTTTTTTTTTGTCTATTGCGCATTTTTATTTAGATAAATTATTTTTTATTTTTCTGCCGGCAGGCAACATCTCATACACTCATGGTCAAATGTATTTTTTTTTTTTTTTTTAATAATGTTTTATAGACAATTATACGGTAAAAATTCTCATAATATAAAATACAACATTTCACTTTATTTATTTATTTTATTTTACGACTAAGTACGACTTAAAATAAACCTCTTGTTAAATGTTCAAGCAATTCTGTAAATCAAACAGTTTTTTTCTGCAAAATACACCTACCAAACAAAAATTTACGTGAAAAACCCACAAAATTAAAATGTCTATATAAATAGCTAAACAAAAGGCGAATATACTGAAAATACCACCACTATAAAAAGCAAATATAAGTTGTCTGTAAAAAATTTCAAGTCTATAATATATAAATGTAAGCAAGGATTACCAATTTTGGGTGGAGTAAAGTTAATAATGTTGCTTTATCATTATTGTATCTGTCATATTATAATAAAATAATTACATTTTTTTTATAATATTAGTTGAATATTGTATCTAAATTCCCGTTCTCCCGGTTTTCCCATATTTTTCCAGGGTTTTTCCCATTTAATGTAAAAACTCCTGGGAAAATCAAAAAATAACTTCCCTAAAGCACCACTCCAATCAGATTTCCTCTTAGAAAAAGTACTATAGAATAATTATTTAATTAATTCTTTAAGTTTTCACGAAAACTTGAAATTTTCAAAACGTTTGATTCCTTTTTAAGCTAATTATAGACATTTAAATTTTGCTTTTTTTTTCGTTATTTTTTATAGTAGGTACTCTGTGGTTAAAATTATTAGATTAAACAGAAATGCTAAAATATTTACCAGGAAGTTTTGTTAATTTCGTACTTTGTGGTCAAAAAAAATTCGAGCTTTATGTAGCATTTATTTTTAGTAAAATAATAAAGTAAAAACAAAATTATTAAAACGGTTAATGCTCGTTAATAAATATATAAATAAATAAATGAATGCCTGGAGTATTATAATAAGTGTATTATAAAAATTTATCAACAAGTATACCACAGTCAAAATGTAAACGTGACTGCATTTTTACCTGATGATAGTCGTTTTTCGATTTTTTCAAGAGTTTTCTCATCAAATTTGAAAAACCGGAAAATACATGAAATATAAGTATTAGTTAAAATATATTATGGCGGCCTTCTTTTTTCTGTGCATAACTTTTTTTCCAGAAATTTTGCTCCAACTTTTAATAATATCAATGTTTCTAAAAGGAAATTTCACTAGGGAGGTACTTTAGAGAGGTCATTTTTCGATTTTCTCAGGATTTTTCCCAGCAAATGTGAAAAACCGGGGGAAACGTAGGAAAATCAGTACAGCATTAAACAAATATTATTAAAGAAAATATTTAAAGCCTATTTAATTATTGTACAATAAAATGACACATATATATCGATTGAACTCCGCTCAGAATAGTTTTTTCGTAAGCAATGGTTTATCGTTGCTTGCAGGTGTACATTAAATAATATACAACAGTGGCTGTACCCGTCCCCGTTATCCTAGGACGTCTTTTTTAAAGTGACTCCGTAGATAAAAGATACAAAAGGCCATCATAATTGATAATCAGTGCGATAGTTGGATACTGGAATAAGTCAGTGTTATCGGTCGATAATATTTCTAAAAATAATAACACACTTCGCGGTAACGCGGATAGGTGTATACCTAAACGCATAAGTACAACTAGACCCGCCAACCTTGGGGGTTCTAAAATTATAGACACACATCATAAACCACGATAACAGGTAAAAGAGACACAGAAAAAAAAATACTGCAAAAAGATAATAACGATATTTATTACTTAAAAAAAAAAAAATAATAAAAAAATAGTCTAATTAATTAAAACGCTTTAAAGTTAATATTTAAAACATTAATTAATTAATTAAAAAGAAAAAAAAGAGTACCTTTAAATAGTTTAAAAAATAAAATTGTATTTAAAAATGTTCAAATGTTCATTTGGTTGTGTACGATTCCTAAATTCGGATCTTAATCGTGTAACTTGGGGTTCATAATTCCGAGGAATTTCAATAACGAAAAGGTACATAATATTTTCAAGTCTTTTGTGTCTACCCAACGTATTTAATAATACATACATGTAGCCAATAACATATATATTTAAATTTGTTTAATACAATAATTTCCATAACAATCAAACAACAATTTTGCTTCAACTGAACAAGATAAACTGAACAAGATGAAGTTCATTTCGAACTGGTTTAAATTAGTATAGGTAGTATATAATCAAAAAAGAGCTGATACTGGGAATGTAAGAGGCCACTGTTATAGGTGAGAATTAAGGAAGGTATAGTACATAAGGTTATTTAATTTATATCTGTAAGCAACGATAAACCTGACTGACCTGCTCGACGAAAGACGATCCGAGCGCAGTTCGCTAATACATGATTTGAAATGCAATATTTTTTGCGATTTTCGTTGAAATTTGATTTCAAAACGCTTATTAAAAAAAAAAAAAAAAACCTCGTCCGATTATTTTGGAAATTTTACCACATTATTCTGGAGATATCGTTCAATATACCGTTGAGAAATAACGATCATTTCAACATTTTTAAATTACCTGTAATTTTTAGAAAAAAAAATTTTTATTAAAGCGCACCATCTTGTACGCCAAATTGCTGTCATCTTTTTATTATTTGTGTTTTAACTTTAAACCCAAACTTAAACAAGTTCTACTTAAACAGCGTAAACATATATCAACTATTAAAAATCGCCGGTTTTAGTTTTGATTATTTAATATTTTAACCTACAACGTTGCTGGTTGTCTCATCATTCACATCACAAGAAGTGAATTACACCTCTTAAAGCTTAGGTACTCGTATATACTATTCATGACACTGATTTACTAAAATCTATTTAGTTTCCCTTCTAATTGAATTGTGTCTTTCGTATCTCGCGTATGTAATATAATTGTACGTTTTAATTAGTATTCATTAGTACGCGCGTGCCGCAGTAATCATCGGAATGTGAGAATATATTTTTAACGAAGTTCATGTTTCAACACCTATAATCGCCAAAATAACACTAAAATATCATTAAACAACTCATATTATATAAGTAAATTTCTACTATATTACAAACCGATTTCGACATCGTCGTCTTCTTCCTACTCGCACACCCTCCACACATCGTTTCCCAGCTATTCGAGTTGACCGCCGATACTAAAATAGTAAAAATAGTACAATATTAAACAATAATTTAAGAGTTTTTTCTCTCACACGCATATCTATAACACTCAATATATCCGTAAAAAAAATATTATTTTATGATTAAAATGTTCAAACGTCTGCAATATTAGATAATTTAATACCTAGTTATGTAATTTGAAAAATGCATGATAAACTAATAAACGTTGCTCATAATAATTATTTCAAGTACGTACTCGAACATAAGATTGAAATAAATATATTAATATACAGTTTGTCCCGCGAAGATACAACTATTGTGATATCTCGGAAAATGTTCAACTCTCGTCGATCGTTCTTTTTTTCTTTTTTTTTTGCCAATTTATAATTATAATAATAATAATAACTGTTTATTCAAATGAAACGTATAGCTCTAAAATATTACATTACCTATTTTAGTCAGCCTTATTTTGAGAGGTGAAACTGCCACCAACGTTTGACTTTTAACAAGCCATTTACGTTAAAAATGTTATAAATAGACGACGTTGTAGTTTAAAAAATAATTGAAAATGTTTAATTTCCGTCGACAGAAGGACAGCGTAGTGGATCATCATTTGTGTGGCGGCATCTGAATAGTGATCTGTTGTAGAAATAATTGTGCAAACAAATAACGGAAGTTTAACACGTTTTAGAAGAGTTTATATTTTTAAATTATAGAGAAAAAAAACGATAATTCCAAAAATAGTCAATACTTCCGAGACGTTGCAATGAGTATATCTTCACAGAATACTCTGTATGTAGTTAGATCATCAACTATATAAAAACGATTTATAAACTTAATTACACAATATATTTCATTTTTTTTTTTCAATTTAATCAAAAACATTTCAGACGAAACAGGCCGTTACAGGCCTCCAACGTCTCACCTAAAACAGTAACCCACCCATCGTACGGAGTATATGTCCGTTTGTTGTTTTTTTTTTTTTAATCTTAGTTTTTGTCATTGTAACCAATAAGGGAGACCGATAATCGATGAAAATGGCAATGCACCAGTTTAGCCGTATTGATGTTGATTTATTTTGTTTTACTCGAGAATCAAGAAAAATTGTCCAAATAAATAGACTCTATGAATAAATCCTGGAAACTTCTCAACAATGAGAATTTAAAAGCCGCATCCAAAGAAGCACAATTGTATTCAATAAATCAATTTGGTTTCCTTGTACTGGTTTTTGATATCAAAAAAAAAACAGGAAAAATTAGGAGTATAAACTGGTAAAAGAGCGTATTTATGTACAGAAAATTATGTTGGTAATGTCAACTAAAAGATATCCAGACGGCCGTTTAAAATATAATTAAACACTGATTTGTTAAAAAGGCGTATACCACATTTAATGCAAGTATACTTTGTGTTCAAAGTATGATGTGTACGAGAAATTGTATTGGTTTCCATGATAAACATCATTAAAAACTGTTTTGCAAAGAAACAGTTTTTTTTTTTCTTCCCGAAAAAAAGTGTTTTAGTGGTACATGTCCTTTTAAAAAACACCGTCGATATTAGTTCAATATAAAATTACTAAATAACTAATGGAGTCTTTTGTATTTTTATGCGAATCGAGGGGGGATATATTATCATCCCCCATTGCGCACGCCACTGCTCATTACGTGTGACATTACGTCACAGTCCACACGTCACCCTGTAAAACCATAAAGAATTTCCTCGGTGTAATAAAATAAGCTAAACCGAACGCAAATTATTTTATAATATTATTCGGGTTCGAATTGCCGGCAAATATTTATTATAATACGTATAAAATACGACTACAGCTGCAGTATGCTATTATCAATATTGACGGAACGACGTGTATTTATAAATAACACTTCGGCCGTCCGTTTTCACGCGTAAATATATGTACACACGAGTAGGACGTCATATGGGAAATACAATTTTTCGGGTTCTCGAGTACCTTTTTGACGACCGCTGTATATATTCTATTGAACACAGCGCGTTTACCGATGTAAACAAATATTTTATAAAACGTCGTCGTCCTCGTCTTTGTCGGGGTTTAGCGCAACGTTTTCGGACGATCGAAAAACATGGGGCCGCGGTTATTTGCGAAGGACAATACGTCACTGTGGCCGTATAATACGCTGCAATACTTGTTATGATAACATAATATTATCTTGTGTGCTCTGTCATTTACACCGTTCAAATATTAGTAACGGTGGTGAGAGCCAGGAGGGTATCGACAGAACACGGACTCTACACCGTCGGTCGGAAAACGGTTTAAAAAAAAATACGTACACGGGTGGTTACATGAAAAGGGTAAAATGGTAAAAATGCTGATATAAGTTGAAAAGAGCAAAAATATTTTGAAAACTACCGGATGACCCATTTTTAAGCGGGTACACTCATTATCTCGGAAAATATGAACTTTCTCCGGAATTCGTTTTCTAGAACATTAAAAAAATAAGCTGCTCTACAATTTTGTATTTATTTTATTTTTGGGGGGTAAAACCACTACCTACATTCGATTTTCAAATGGCAACCTATATTATAAAAATTTCACAAATAGATGCATTATTAGTTAAAATACATTTCAAAAAAGCCATGTTTGTCCTTGTTACGATAACAACGACAATATACCCTACGATTTATTTTAAATCTTCATAATATTATGGGTATATATAAACACGGATAGAGTTATTTTTAAAGTCGTAACAATTTTTTATTAGTTATTATTACGTGGTATGCCGTGGGCAATTACATAGACATTAAAAAAAAACTAATTTTACCGGTTATTATAATCATACATAATACAACTTATTCCATAAATTTTAACGCATATTAGCAGATACACGTACACCAAAAGAAAATATCAAACGATAACAGTAAACAATAATATTATGGACTGTGGTAAACACGGTGAATTTTAATATAAAATTTTGAAGAAAATCGTTTAAGTAAAAAATTACGTGTAACAAATCTAGCTACTGGTTCATGCAAATTGATCAATGGTTTTTGTTTTTTATCATATATTATGTATACCTAATACAGATTTAAGAACTATGATTAATTCAGAACTGAGAGGACTGACTTAGTTTCGAAATTATAGCCTGTTGAAGTTCTAATATCATGTGGATATTATATGTGTTATGTCAAATAACTCAATAATGTCAATTTTGCAATATGTATGTCGAAGTCTAGTGGTGGTATATACCTGTTAACATCCCAGAGGTCGCAAGTTCAAACTCGAGATCCGTATAACCTTCTTTTTTTTTATACGCTTTAAAATCAAATTTTGATGAAAATCGTAGATGTTACGACCTTACTTCACTCCGAATCGTTATCAATAGTTTATCGTTGATTTCAGGTATAAATTAAACAACTATATGTATCCCACATTGCCCACTACTCATCTACAACAGTGGCCGCATCCATCCCCAGTCTTTTTTTTAATTGATTTCATTACCTTATTACTTCTCGATGGGCAGATTCAGCTATCACAGAAATTGTTTTTTTATAACGTGATTCCGTACTCGCAGTTCAGTCTTGCTTTCGAAAAGTTGCTACGATTTGCGCGTAGAGTAACGCTATTAAATAATTACTATACTGAATTAATTGATTTTAATTTTAGAGAAACATTGCAAAAATACGCCCATTTATGGTTTTTGAATGAAATAACACCTAGAATAAAAACTTCTATGACACGATAGCTGCCTATCGAGAAGTAATAAGGTAATGAAATCAACTTAAAAAAATACGGGGGGCGGATGCGGCCACTGTTCTCTAGGTGAGTAGTGAGGAAAGTGGGATACACGTAGTTGTTTAATGTATACCTGAAATCAATGATAAACTAGTATTTAAATAGCAATTTTCGTAACACACGTACTTCTCATAGTCAACACGAATGATCGAATTTCATAAAAAAAAACTACTTAAGTTGCAATGTTATTTCGGTTCCTATATGTTTAATTTAATTTAAATTTTATAATTTGTCCTCGAGTGATAATCTTCAATAATGATTATTTTTCAATTATTGTTTTTTGTTTTCAGAATACAGCGTGACAAAATAAATACACCCAATTAAACAATATTCTATTTATTATCTATTATATTTATTTATAACAGTATAACGACGAACCTAGGTGATAATTTCACCAACATTACCTATCGGTTTACGTTAATTTTTAATTTTTTTTTTTTTTTCTATAATATTTTATCATATTTTTTGTGACGCTTAAATAAATTATGCTATAATGTGAAAACTAAAACAAAACAAAAACTGTTTAGCAAAAATAAAATTACGACACGGATCCCTAAATAATTGTTACTGTTATGTAATACGACCATTTTAACAATTATTTTAGTCAATTATTATTATTGTGATGTGTTAAATGTTAAAAATAAAATAAATAAATAACTGCAGTGAATAAAAGTAACAGTTTGCAATACGATACTAAAAACATAAAAAAAGAAAAAAAACAACGAAAACATATTATATATCTACGGCATAACATAATATAATAATAACAGTCAAGAATCGAGATTTCACTCAGTCAGTGAACACGGCACCGCATTTGACCGTCTGCACTCCAGGTACAAGATTTTTTTTTTATTATAATATTCATATTTCATGTTCGTTAATGTTCGATCAATAATTTACCATTTATTTTTTTTTTTTTACATCTTAATAATATTTCGTCTAATAAAAAACGTGATTAGTTTTATTATAATATACTTATAGAAATCAATTAAAACGATATTTTACGACTTACATTAGTATATTGTTCATTCGTCGCGAACCAAAAAACAAGGCCGAATCGGTTGGTCATTTTTCACATAATATCGCTGTTTAAAGTCCTGTTTGGCAAAATTCTGATTTTCTCCGCGATCGAGTGACTCGCACGTTCAATATTCTCTCAGCTCCAGAGACTAAACTAGGTAATATTTTATTTTTCCTTTACCCCCTAAATGAAAATATTGATATCTATCTAATTGTTATCTAAGATAAGAACAAACAAATATCTTTTTAGTAATTTTCTAGATTAAACACAGGTACCTAAAACAAACAAAAAATAGTGATAAAGATAAAATGTTTTATCAGTAGTAAAAATTTTGGACAACTGTACAGATAATAGTTAAGTGTAAAAATACTGTTAACTGCGAAAAAAAGTTTATTTTTCAATCGGGTTTTTTTTTTTTTTTAATTTTTTCGAACAATTGCATTCTGAACCGAAATAAAAATATAATATTCGTGCACAATAATAGGTACCTATATATTGTATCATGATTTTTTTTTTATACGCAATACGTCGCGTAAGTTCGTACCGTTATTCAAAAGTCGTACGACATTATTCAATCGTTACATTGACGGGACTTATTGTTTAGACGGACCTCGGCGACGTCTTGAGAACACGTCGAAATTTCAACATTTCCGCGTTATTTTTTTTATTTTTTTCTCTTTTTATTCCACGCACGCGGTTATCGAGTATATTTCATTTATTCATATTATATTTTTCGCGATCGCGTATTACTGCAAACAAACTGTTTGTAAGTATTAAATTGTTATTATTAGTACGGGTACCCCGTCTTGTGTTACGAATGTCGCGGTATCATTATAGACACGGCCGAACAATTAAAATTATTATTGTTATTATTATTATTATTACGCGAAAAAAAAAAAAAACAATAAACACATTATTGTAATATCTAATTAACGGATATAACGAGCAGACGGTAAAAAATTTAATTGTTCCGCGGTGTGCACGACCTCTAAAACAAAACAGCGATTCGCGGGAAAAATAAAATATATCGAGAATATTTAGCGCCCGGATGTTGCGCGGATAATTTGTCTTATTTGTAAGTATGATAACAGGTCGATTCACTTTTAATCATTTGGCTAACAGCACTAGTTCGTTACCGCTGGACGCGCGTTCGTGAGAACGCGACGTGCTTGACCGCGATCGTTTTATAACAACAACGGCAACGATTACAATAATCGTACGCTCGTTGGTTTGTCCGTTGCCGTACTGACGTGCCCGTCGCTGTGTGTTGCTTGCAGGGCGACACGGTGTTCTGAATGTGCACATTAAGTCGTTGGACACGCACGCAGTCGTTACAGCAGTACGATGACGGACTCGGCGAACTTGTCGACGTTTCTAGCGGCGCTCTCCGTGTTCTGTTTGCGGCCGTGTCCGGCCGTCAATCTGAACGCGCTCACGTTTATCGGCGACCGTTACCGCATGAACCTCATCCCGTTCCGGGAGGACCCGTTGTTCGGCAATAAACCGATACTGGACGAATACGATTTCATTGTGGTCGGTTCGGGGGCGTCGGGCGCCACGGTCGCCAGGAGGCTGGCCGAGGTGCCGGACTGGAAAGTGTTGCTGCTCGAGGCGGGCAAACAGGAATCGTTCGCTACGTCGGTGCCGACCATCGCGCATTACTTTCATTTCACCGACTACAATTGGGCGTTCAAAACCGAGAATGAACCCAATTCCTGTTTCGGCGTCGTCGACAAGAGGTGCGCGTGGCCGCAAGGCAAAGGGGTGGGCGGCAGTACGATCATCAACAACAACATATACACGCGGGGCAACGTGAGAGATTTCGACCGTTGGGCCGAAGCGGGCAACCCGGGATGGTCGTACAAAGACGTGTTGCCGTATTTTCTGAAAAACGAAGACATTACCATTCCGGAGCTGAAACGTTCGCCGTATCACGGTGTCGGGGGACCGATGCCGATAAGCTACTCCCCGTTCAAATCGAAGCTGCTCGATGCGTTTCTCGAATCTGCCCCGCAGGTGGGATTGCGCGTGGTCGATTACAACGACCCGAACAGCCACGTGGGCTTTTCGAGAATCCAAGGGACCATAAACTACGGTCGGCGGGTCACGTCGGCCAAAGCCTATCTGAGAACCAACCTGACGAATCTTCACATCGTCGAAGCGGCCTTCGTCACGAAAATACTGATCGACCCGAACACCAAAGTCACGTTGGGCGTGGAATTCGAAAAGGGGAACCGGCAGCGGAGAGCGCTGGCGAGAAAAGAAGTTATCGTGTCGGCGGGCGCTTTCAACACCCCCAAACTCTTAATGCTATCCGGCGTCGGGCCCAGAGAACATCTCGAACCCTTAGGAATAAAAACCATAAGCGACTTGCGGGTCGGCGACAACTTGCAGGAACACCCTTCGTACGCGAACCTCGCGTTCACCGTGAATCAGACCATAGGGCTGATACCCGAACGGCTATACAAACAATTGATACGCGAGTTGTTTAATTTGTACGACGGGTCCGGCTGGTTGACGACAATGGGCTGCGAAGGGCTTGGTTACGTGAAAACGAAATACAACACGGACCCGGGAGACGTGCCGGACATAGAATACATTTTCGTGCCGATGACCGTAGCGGGCGAAGAAGGTCTGGGAAACAGTCTGCTGAGAAGGAGCATGGCGATACCGGACAGTGTTCATTACGATCTGCACAAAGGCATACTCAACAAGGACGGATGGTCGATTTGGACCATGCTCATGTATCCCGAGAGCAGAGGTCAAGTACGTGAAATATTGTATAATTATATTCTAACATAAGTTACTTCGATGATAAGCATAAGTTAATTCGAGGTTTTTTTTTTTTTTTTTTACGTATATCTTAACCGCGACCGTGTAGGCCTGTTTTCGCTCTTCGGCGTCAAAGTGCAAATAATAATTGTTACGCGTGTTATAATGTTACGCTGTTCATTCTCGCAGGTCCGACTGAGAAACGCCAATCCTTATTCGAAACCCGTGATCCGAGCCAACTTTTTCGACAGTTCCGTCGACCTCTATCGTATCGTAGAAGCCATCAAGATGGTCATAGAACTCAATAAAACGCCCGCTTTCCAAAAACTCGGGTCCACTCTGAGTACGCGGACCGTGCCCGGCTGCAGGCACCTGAAATACGGCACGGACCCGTACTGGGCGTGCTGCGTCCAAAGACTGACGATGCAAATGCATCACCAGGCCGGCACGTGCAAAATGGGACCGGAACACGACCGGAACGCGGTGGTCAGCCCGCAGCTTTCGGTTTACGGGGTGTCCAGGCTGAGGGTCATCGACTGTTCGATCATGCCGACAATCACGGGCGGCCATACCGTCGCGCCGGCTTACATGATTGGCGAAAAAGGAGCCGACCTGGTCAAGTCGACTTGGTTAAATTGATTGATATATGTAAATTTATTTATTTTTTTTATTTTTATTTTTTTTCACGCGACGACGCGCTGTACATACATTTAATAACGCGTAAGTGCATTATTTATCGTTTATATTACACCGTTCAACTAGAAGACTTAAACGTAATACAGTGTATATTACAATGTAATGGTTGCCTTGAAATGTTAAACTATAAACGTCGCTTTATCTATATTGGGCATATCGTTTTTTAACATTTGTGCAATTTCAAAATTAAACAACAATAATACCTTTTTTTGATTATTTTACTTATTCCGAGGCGTTCAGGCCCGTCGCCGCTACCGCCGCGTCTTAGACACCCAATGTTGTAAAGAACAATTTTATAAAATATCTGAGTATGATTTAAAATAATCTTCAAAAATTGTATTCGAATACTTTTTTTGTAATGTATTTTAGTAAAATTTTAAATACTAATTTTTTTTTTCCAATCACTCAACTATATTAATGATAACAATATAAAAATTACAATACAAAACCCAAATGTCGATACGTATTTTTTATATTTTTTTTTTTAAATCCTAAATATAAGTAGAGCTTTATTCAAGGTTTTATCAACTAAATTTAAATTATTTTAAAATTATTCAAAAATACGATAAAACTCCAAAACACATTCACTGCTAGGTTAACATAATAACAGATTAACTAAAGGCGTAAGTAGTTAGAAATATTCTTCTGGATAAGCCAAATAAAATAATATACATTTTTATGACTACTATATTTGATTAATAATACGAATTTTTGATTTTGAAATATTGTTTTAATTAATCGATGTCGTGAACTATCAACAGGGTGTACAACGACATTTCTAAAATAATTTAAATTTAAAAGTCAGAAAAAGTATTTGAAGGTAAGTATTCAATACTGTAAAAAAGTATTTAAAATGTACTCCACTACTTATAAATAAATATTATTTAAAATACGTATTTAATACTTGGAAAAGTATTTAAATACCAACACTCAAATACTTTACGATAGTGTAGATACCTTCTCTATACGTGATGCCTAGCTCTATATAGCTATACAGCCTGCGCTATAAAAAAAATAATACTATTATGAAATGTCGCAAACACTATCACATGTGAAAATTGTTCGACAAATTCCTACACAATTGAGTGTGTATGCATAAAACGAAACATGAACGAACCCGGAACCCATAATTCTCGTCGCCACTGCGTTTCATAATAGGGTTTACATTGAAAAAAATAATAATAATACCATTAGTCGTTGCGTACCTCATATTTTTACAGTGAAGTGTTGATTTTTTTAACAATTATTATATTACCGACTGATGCATAATATTATAATGAGCATTAATTGTACACCTGAACAATTATTATGTGATATTGTTTTGTTATTTGTGTATAGATTAATGGATAATTTGATAATTTGTGTAATATACGCACAGCGGCCGTGCGTTGAACTATGATGAAATGTTAAACGAACAAAAAAGGAGTTGTTATTCGAAAAATTACCAATAGGTCGGACGTACTTCGCGCCACTGCTATTGTAGTTGGAAAGTTGATGAACAACATGATGCAATACTCTTAAAGTGTAATTCAGCTTATAATATGCCGACACTTGAAAGCAACGATAAATCATCGCGATCAAAAAATCGATTCTCATTAGACCCCGGTAAACTGATAACGACGAAATGTGCTTATTTTTTCCGATACACGGAATCGCGGACATGTTTTATGTTTAATTATGTTGTTGTTATTATGGAAACATTCACATATTCGCATCAAACGCGTCTCGTCCATTTTCGGCCCATTCCAGCGCAAAAAAACACGTCCGTGTTAATAATAAAACCAATGTTTCGTCATTTGTTTTCGGGTTTTTAGTATTTTAGAAAAATTGTTGATTAAGTATACAATTGTTTCAAATGTATACATTTTCAACGTCGAAAATTATTTTCGCGATCAAATATTACAGCCTGCCGTGAAAAAGCCGACCAATTATTGACAACTGATAATGGACCTCCATAATTAATGATAACAGGTAAAATAACATTATGACGAGTTACTGTTACGTTAACCTTCTAATTTCTATCTGTCCATATTCAATGTCCATAAATTGTATTTATATTCTTTTTATTAATTGTATTTATTTTTTAAATTGTCTATAGTTTGTTATTTCTTCTCGTTCGCTTTCATACCGGCTATTCGAAGTTGGGCCACCCTCGTTCTATACATTCGCTTGACCCGATCTCGCACCTCGTATGAAAACTAAAAAGTATTTCTCAGAAAAAAACTTGCGTACAGCCCTCGGAAATATTCCCCCTTTAAATGTTGTCATTTGTGTTTAGACCCCAGTTCCAAAACCTAAAAGCCGCAATCTATGTTCTAAATAACGTAATTTTATCTTTCGTTAGTAAAACGGAACCAGCGCATGCGGATATTATGACATCCTCTTAATGCATTTTTAAACGATCATCACGACGTTGTGTAACAATATCGACCGGTTCGGTAATATTATTAAGACGTGTACGCATACGGTCCATGATATTATTATTACGATTACCTACGTAAAAAATGACAATAATTCCGGAGGCTATAGGCGTTCAGAACCGACACGCGTGAACGTTGGAAAAAAACGACAGTGACATCTCCGGAGGACTGTGTGAAAACTGACAGTCGAAATTGACTGATCGACTTGCACAACTGCGCAAAACAAAAAGTGAACCGACGTTAGTATACATTATGTATACAATCCCAGAAGACCGATAATATATTACAAACGTGTATGATGCCGCGGTTACATTTCATGCAATGACCTTTAAGGAAAAAAAAGTTTAAAATCCCACGTGAAACCGAAATAGGTACACGCAATATTTTATGCGATCACTATTTTCGCTTTTAAACACATCACGCACGTGTGGCTTATACGGTTCAACAACGAGACTCACTACTATAATAATTATATCGCCGTGCTTTTCGCTAAATTTCTAATCAGACCCTTCAGACACACACACACAGGCAGACATATATATAGGTACATCTCTGATGATGTTCACGGAAATCCTTCTATATTATAGCATCCGACTTAGACCGCGTAGCAATGACCCAGATATCTTAAATTCAAATATATATATATACATATAATTAAAATCTGCCCACGATACACACCTACACTAGTTTCGCATCGGAGTTATCCCTTTAAACTATGTACAAGCCCTGTAAACACAACACAACGCGTTATCCTTTGCAGTGCATGTTGTATACTTAAGAAGACGTCTCACCCACACGTGCTGTCTCCGTCTTACAAACGCAACGCAAATTTTCGTTTAGGTAAAACAACTTTGTCACGTGTTACTTTAAGCGTGTTACGAGTACGTGAAATGTTACAATTTAGAAATGCTTAAGTATATCTCGCTTGAATTGCTTGAAAATCAAAATATCAAAAATAAAATTATCAAACATGTAGTTGCACATATAATGTGTTTTATCTGTGAGTTTGATCAATTCGTTTTAAAATTAAAACTAAAAGTCCAAAGTTATTCTTTCTGAACGAAAATGTCGCTGTTTCTTAACACATAACGCACATTATGTATTACAGACCGTCCGTATAACTGATTGAAATACACAAGTTTTTTCAAACAAAGAGCTGATACTGCTGCTGGGTATGCCAACGGTGTAGGTGGAAAGTTGGAAATATATGGCCTACATAAATTAATTTTATTTGTGCCTGTACACAATGATAGACCTAAGTATAATAATTCTTAGCCAAGTTTACCGTGTCTATAAAGGGCTAATATAAATGTTTCCGTTTTTTCTACGTCTTTTCCCAATCATTATGAAATCTATAGAAAAATCAAAAAAATATTACCTCCTTAATGCACTAACAAGACAATATTTTCTTTTTGGAAATATGCTCAACAGTTGATGAAAGGAGCAAGATATCTGGTAGAAAAATTGTTTACAGACGCAACAAAATTCAACATTTTAATAATTAAACACCTTAGTAAAACTAATTCATTTCTCGCTACACTCGGAATCTAAAAGCGATAACTATACGCGTACACAACTACTGCAAATGTCTATCACAAAGTTGACTCGTTTTTTTTTTTGTTTTATAATTACGTTACACGCGTTTTTTCTGCGTTGCGTGCCAAACGTACAAAATTATACGAAATCGGCCCCGATAAAAAAAAAATAAATAAATAAAAACATAGGTACACGTTATACACGACATCAACGAAATTCATACATACAAAAAAAAAAAAAACACCATAATTATATGGTTAGGTATTTAGGAACAAACAAAGTGCATTTACAAACGAATAAATGAAAATCAAGTTAACAAGATATAGATTAAAAATGATCATTCAAAGATAAAAATATAATTAGAAAATATTATCTTTTGGGGGTTTTTCGCGATATTCCAACACATATTGCATAACGGATAAAGGGTAAATATTTGAATATTATTCGAACCTAACATAATAGTAATATAAAAAAAAAAAAAAACAGAGTTAATACTGCTACCGTTATTTAATTTATATTTAACGATGATTAATCATCTCTAACGAAATACGATTTTGAACGAAGTTTGTTGAACGTGTATACATAACATATGTATGCATGTTTTGAAATGTCGTGATTTTTACTATTTCCGTTAAAATTTGAACTTAAAATGCTTATGAAAAAAACTACTACATTACAATTAACTTTTTTTTTTCATTACTTAAGTAGGTACAACTTATGATGAACGCATTTTGTCACGTCTAAAGAAAGCTAATATATGTATTCTGTAAAAATATCAAATATTTGCAATTATTTTTAACCGAATAACAACAATGTAATAAAACTAATGAACCGTTATCGTAAATCTTTCCAGTTTTTCTGTTTTTTTTTTTGTTTTCCGTTAGTAGGAAAACAACAAGGAAAATCAAAAAATAAGGTTCCCAATGCACCGGATAGGTACAAAAAGGTAGCACTCGAATGTTTCTTATAGCGCGATGCAATTCTAATTATTTCCTTATTTGTACATTAATTTCAAAACGGTATTCTAAAGCTTAGATGTTAAACAAAAATAAACACCCATTAGAATTTTTAAAAAAAAAAAAAAAACATTTTCTTATACCGGTGCACGTATTTCAAACATTATAGAGATTACAATGATGATTTATTTCTGCGTTATAAAATTAATAACTATACTTATAATCCGTGAGTCGGTGTGTTCAGAAACTCTAGAATTATCTGGTACTGCAAATCGCGTCTTAAAAGCATTATTTTATTAAATCGAAAACAGCATTTAAAAATGTTTCTCATTATAAATGGGCCGTTAAATATTAAATTACCTAACAATTTGTACAATTTTTAATTGATTTCTTTTTTTTTTTTTGTTTTAGTTACATAAGCTAGCTAATTTACTACAACTACAATAATATTAAGTATACGTGTAGAAAATGTGTAGAAAATAGCATTTGTAAATATTTATTCAGCTGGCGATGGAAATATTAGTAAAAACAATATAAATTTCGACAATTCCATTAAGAGGGTTCGAAATCTCTTATCTTTATTTTTTCAACATAATATACCGCAGCATAGCAATTTAGATCAATATTTTTTCCATCGATCGATGCAGTAAAACGACACTAGTTCTGAAAACAGATTTGAATTCAGCGAGAAGTGTAAACGAGATAACGAACAGGCTTCTTTTGGAATTTCAGTCCATAATCTCAAAAAATTTGATTTTAATATACATGAAAATATACTAAAATGGAAAAAGTGATCTTGCCGATTTCGTGTACACTTAACGTTGAATTCAAATTTATTTTCAGAAATCGTATCACTTCATTACTCATCGATTGGACGAACAATTGGTCTAAATTATACTATGATGCTGCGTATGGTGTTAGGTGTTAGACCGGAGGGTTAATGGAATCCCCGTTCTGTTTCGAATCCCCTTAAGTCCGTTTACACGCTTACAGTGATAATTGTCAATCTTGATCACTATTCGCGTAATTGTTTAAAAAAAAAAAAAATAACATGACAAAACTATGAAAATCGATTACCTAGTTAGTAAATATTTTATTCGATCTCCCGGTCGCGTGAATATTTCATCTCACAATTATTATTGTATCGTATAGAATACATCTAAATATTATTATACCTACACAATTGATAAAAGGCCGGATTAAGGATCCCGGGCATAAGGTGAACCCCGAGGCCGAACTCGAAAAACTTGTAAACGGGCTCTTTTTATATAATTATATACATTTTATTTGAATTTGTGTGCTAAAAAAACGTTTTATATAATATAAATTATTAAATTATAAGGCCGGGGAAAACGTTTCCCTCTCCTCTTAATCCGGACTTTTAATTATATGTTGTACAAAAACTACTAATCCACAATAATATGATTTCTCTTCGATTGATTGCTCATATTTTATTACATTATTTTTTTCGTTTTCATATAAGTGCAAAACGCATACATAAAGATATTATAGGTAATTACAATAATTTGTAAAATTTTATGTACACAATAAACATGAAGACATATTTTTCTTTTTTTTTTTGTAAACCTAACCAATTATTACAAGATTAAATTAAATATTATACGTTTATCGCTATAATAATATTAGTAAATATTATAAAATTACTAAAAATAGATAACAAAACGAATTTTAATCGAAAGAAAAATAAAAAAATAAATTACAGGTAAGTTTGAAAAAAAAAAAAACAAAAAGATTTCAAGTGCTGCTCATTACTTATAGATTATTAAACAATATTATTATAGGTAATAAAGTATAATATAATATAGAAAATTGTGTATATTAAACGCCGTTTTTTTATGATGATTTTTTTTTTCTGCGGTAAACTTACCTACATAATAATTTATAGTGCAAGACAATTAAAATTAATATCAGCGAAGTTCGGTACCGGATTAATATTTAAACGTATATATCGTATATAACGTTAGAATAATATTACTTTAACGTTGTACACATTCCTTTTTCGTGGCTCGCGTTATAAATAATATAATCATAACACTGTCTTGATTGTAATTATCATAATGACACGTTATTAATATTTTCACCCGGTGACGAGAACAAAACAAAAATGCGACGACCGTTTAAACACGCGCCGGTTAATCGTAATCCGACGACGGGGAAAATTGTTTTCTGGCGATGAACGACAGGTCCCGGTCGATTGGCTTCGTGTCGTCGTACAGAGCCGGGGCCTCGCACAGTATCGATATCGTGCCCATAATCGAGGCCACCGTGAATATCCACAGGAACAACCGGTCCAGCACCATGGCCATGAAGCCCCAATCTTGGTCTTCCTACAATAATAAAATTCCGATTTAGTATTAGGCACCGTGTTTTTAGATAATAACAATTAGGTAGTACGAACAAATTTTCTTCCCGGGAACATTATTCCCCGGCAGCATATTATTTACTAGTGAAGCCTCAAGGGAGAATATCCTTGAAACAACAGCGTGAAGGCTTTAAAGCGTTAACGCTTTAATATAGGTAATATTATGTCGAAATTTACGAAATTATGAAGGGATTGTTCATGAGTGCATGCGTCATGCTTTTCTTTTGGTCCATCATTATGATTGTCAAAATTTGTATTTTCGAAAAATTATTTTTTACTTTTTAGCATGTTGTAAAAAAATGTTTTATTATTGTTATTTATTTTTAAGTATTTATTCATAATCTGAGCAAGTTGTTACGATTTATTATGCACGTATAAATACTTGTTGAAATTCTCCATAACCTTTACGGCCCTCTTTGAAAATAAAATGAAAATCGAATTATTGATTATTGTATTGGCATCGTAAATATGAGTGCACACAAAATTAAAAATTGATTAGACCACGGGAAACGGGTCAAAAATTAAAGAGTGTCCTTAGAATGACGAATGTCTTCTTCAAATGCCATTTCAAAAATCCGCGCTATAGTACAAGGCATTTTAATTTTTTACTTTAAATAAATGAATGGAAATTAATACAGAAAGAAATATGCTGAATAATAAAAATGAACGAAATCTAGATGTTAAATATTGATTGATTTATATTTATAACAGTGTTCAAATCGTGATTAACGGTGTTAACTCACCGAAATTGCCTGGTCAGTGTTTAAACTTAAAACTGAATGTGGTGAAATTCGACCGGAGGTTAAACCAATGTTGATCGCGGTCATGTTTAATATCGGCTAATCACGAATAGTTAAATCGGACCCAAATAAATTTTATTTATTTATTAAACTGTTATTTTATAACAGTTTGTTTACCAGATCGAACACGATAATAATATTATGTTTCGTATGTGCTCGTTTGAAAGGTCACCGCATCTCTCCAACTATATAGTTTATATGTTATTAGGTACTTAAACTGTGTTCATCTTTCCAACCATAGTGCCACGGCACAGGCGGAAATTGAGAGGGGCTGGACGAGTTAAAGTGGGTTAGTCTCTCTAAAATCAACCGAAATACCCATAAATTATTATTTTATGAAATAAGCTAGTCTTACAATATAAATTAGGATTACTAAATAGGACAGCACTGTAAGTAGGTACCTTGTAATATTTAGATAGGCGCTGGTACATTCCAAAAAAACCTCAAGAAAAAGTTTTGTTTTTTTTTCATAACATTTAACATTTTTCTCTTGCATTGATATAATATTATTAATAACTTTCATTATTTCACTATATATTTATCTCGCTCCCACCCCCATTTAAAAATCTTGAGTAAGCCATTGCGTCAATTTATAATATTATTGCGAAATTTACTCGTACGTTAGCTATTTACCTTTACCTAGTGGCTAGCGTATTAGGCCTATATGATCACGACAAACTATCAAATCGAAAGTGGTCGACAACGGTATAACACTATTATACAATCGCTATTACTATTTCTCTCGATATTTTAGCGTTTTCAATCCGACCACGCGAGTGTACCACGACTACACGCGTTCAATGATATCGCACTCCGCATTTGTATTAAAAATCATAAAATTAAATTAAACTATTACAAATTTTAATAGTTTAAAGTAATATAATGGCTTGATATATGTTTTTAACTGCGCATAGTTAATGTATAATCATATTATTCAAAAGTAACCAGTTTATCGTTTTGAATAGTTATTAATGGGGAAAAAAAAAAAAATGATTGTTACCAACGGCGTCCTATCTTCGAAATCCAAGGGAAGGAACGCAGTATTTTTTCAATAGTATTTATTTTCCTGTTTGCTTATTAACTGGTATATTATGTAAAAGGTTACGTAACATACCGTATTCCTATTTCCTACAGTAGTATTTATCATAACAATATAATTATTTAAAATAAATTATAAAAAAAACTTATAGTAGATAGTTTAATTTAAAATAAACTGAAAAATATGTACAACATAAATATTGCACTTTGTCATTTAATTGATTAAATGAATTACATTAAAGAAAGATTCCGGACATCCCGATAGTCCGGTCCACACCTGAGTATACTGACATGTATATTGTATGTGGACCTATGAGTACATCTATTTGTATGCGTTATACTGATATGTAGGTCACGGATTTAAATGCACTAACAATTCACAAAAAAAAATTTAAAACCGTCAAAAAAGCTCTAAAAAATCACTCGAAGAATATTTAAACGAGCAATAAAGGTAGAAGAGTTTAAAAGTTTCCCCTTCTATGGTTTCTAACTTAATAAAAATAATTTTTTAACACTAAAAAAAGATGTTTATTTCAAAGTAATTTTTTTCAAATAAATTTGTATGTGTTAACACATAAAATGTTTTGTGTTAATCATTTAACAATGTTAGAAAAATGAGGTAAGAACTCTCAGAGTGGGGCTTTAAAACCCATCTACTACTTTTGCATTTTAAATATTTTTAAATACTTTTCTGACGATTTAAGCGCTTTTTTACGGATTTTACGTGAATTTAAATCTGTGCCCTAGTGATATGTAATATTTATTAGGAAAATATATTTAAAAAATTACTATTATTATAGTTGTTTCACGTATTTTATTTTATTTCGCAATGTATACAATGGTTGTTGTACACATCGCGAACTGTATAATGTAACTTGTACAATCTAGTTACTTTGTACAATATTGGACAGTTGGCGGTTTGCACAAAAATCACTGTACACATTGCGAAATGTACAATTCCGGACTTCGCGTGTAACACAGTACAATATATTTAAAACACGACGAAACGAGGAGTGCGCCTGTTGTAATTTGTATTTTTTTATTTATTTTTTTTTTTTTTTTCATCTCTTTATCTGTTTTTGTCTCAGCTCGGTACACAGATCGGTCGTGGAGGGTTTTTTTTTAAAACCAGTAGACATTTACCGTGTTGTATTCGTCCTGGCGCTGCAAATGATGCTGTATGAACTTGACGTTGTGAATGGCCTTCTCCAGCTCGAACGGATACTTCTTCCGGATGACGGCCGGCACGTCGTTGAGCGTGTCGTCGATGGAGGCCACGGCCGCGTTCACCAGGCGGCTGGCCGCGGCCGCGGCCGTCGTCCCGTTGCACCCGGTACGGCCGGTGGCCGCCACGAATCGGCGCAGCGAATCTGTGGGAGACCGGTGGCCGGGCGGCGGTGACTCTATGGGCGCCGGCGGGACGTTCATCGTGGCGCCAACGCTCACGACGTTCAGCCTACAAAAACGGACAGAAAATATTAACAATATATTTTATTATTACGGGAGGAGGGGAGGGCAATCGAGTACGTTTAAATTTCGTCTCTCTTTTACTCGACGGCCGTGATATCCGGACCTCAAACGTCATTGCTGGCCTCACAACGGTTTTATAAACCGTGTCCGTTTTATTTCCCCTACAACGGCGCGTTTTTCTTTTTCTATTTTTTTTTTTTTTTTTTATCACGCATGACGCTCCCGTCAAAAGCGTATTATTAACACTCACCTGGCCAAATTCAAATTTAGTTTTTTACACGTCTTCATCTGCTTCTGTTTCAGCGCCGAATCCGCCAACAGCTGTTCCGGCACTCTCATCAGTAACATTTTCGGCAGTGCTCTGATGAACACTGTCCGCATCCACGACGGTATCTTGTGCGTGCTCGGCTGTCTGCGGGGGTCGAATGAGACAGTCATGTTGTTATTATTTGGTGGGTTTTTTTTTTTTTTTTTTGTTATTGTTATCCGGTAATGTTTTACCAATAATATTCCAGCAACCATCACTCACCGGTAGTGTATGTTTATGATGATAATGGTGACGACCACGCACAGCGCCACCAGCAACATGGTGAACAACAGGTACTTGCCCAACAGAGGTAACGACAGCGACGTGGACGGTATGATTTCAGATATGAGCAAGAAGAACATGGTCTGCGACAGTAGGATGGTGATGCACAACGAGATCTTCTCCTTGGAGTCGGCCGGCAGATAGAACACCAGCACCGACAGGTACGATATGCCCACGCACGGCACGATCAGGTTGACGGTGTAGAACAGCGTGCGGCGTCTCAGCGTTATGTTGAAGAATATGTCGACGTACGGTTCCTTGCAGCAGGGATAATATTTCTCGTGCCTCTCGGCCGGCACGCCCAGTATGTCCCATTCCACGCTTGGATAGTACGCCGACAAATCGATGCCCACGTCCACCTTGTCGGTTTTCTGTTGGCCGATGTGTTTGAGGTTTATCTAAATCACACGGCGGAATAGCATAATTAAAAACACCGATCGGACGATAATGTCTGTCCGTAGTATGATTGTGAATACGTTCCGTTGTTCGTATCCACCGTACGTTAGATTCGGAGCAGTGGCGTGGTATAGCTATTACGGGGAAACGTGGAGCCCCGGTGCCTTAAAATTTGAAAAAAAACTTATATTTGATTCTTCTAGACGTGGTGACATTTTTAAAACATTTTGGCAATTTTTAAACGTTTTATTTTTGCGAAATTTTTTAGTACCAAGTTTTTATTTAATAGGTATCATGTGGGAATTATTATTTGACTGGACGGCGGTTGCGTGACGTGCACATAAGCAGCGTAAGCGTTGCTTACACTTTCAGTTTTAAAACGTTATGGGTATAAATTTTAATGAACAAATTAAAATTCAACGATCAAGATCAAATAATGTTAAAATTAAACTAAAATATATTATCATTCATTGGTATTACATTTCGTCGATTTACATATACTACACATATTATTGTTATTTGTAATTTGTTAATCTAAAATGAACATCGTTATCGTTTGTTTCCTGCGTTTCGGCCGTCGGTTGCATTGTGCATTGTGCATATGTATATCTTAATCCGTGCGGAAATATTCTGTAAAATGGTAAACAAGAAAAGAATATGGGCAATTGTAACTGGCTTCTGCACATAACTTCGTGCGTTGTGCGAAAGTCAAAACAAACTAATAAAAATGTAAGGAGCTATTTAGTATTTTTTAAAAACGTCAAGTAAGTAATAACTTACCTAACACGTTGTAAATGTATTCAAGTTGTTTATGAGTTAATATATTGGAATGACTTGGACAAGAAGAATATATGATAATAAATATTTAACTGCCAATATTTTGGTTGTGTTTGTGCTAATTGCAGTGATCACTAAAAACGTCGAGCCTAACAAATTTAGTAATGGTATTGGTATATCAATTTCAGAAACCACAACTTCATCACAAAATAACAACCAACAATTGTTGATGCATTTTTAGGGGTAAAATCACAAAGTATGGAATTACATAATTGTTACAAGGTAAAAAACGGTAGTATAAATTGAGAGTAGTTTTCTGGGGATAGTAAACAAAAATGGTACAGGTACAGGTAAGTATCATTTTTGGTGTTTGCATACACCTCTGACGACTCCACGTCACGTTACTGCTGAACAGAAATGCTTGAAAATATCACAGGAGTTTCATTATAAGTTGTGCTTAGTTATAACTTCCCATTAATACCACCCAGATAAAGTTTCCTTTCAGAAAAGGTACTACATTTTAAAATCAGAGTAATATTTTTCATAGAGAAATTGTTCACAGATATAAAAATGAAAAAAAAAAGAAACATTGTAAATTCAACTCGCTTCGCTTAGGATCTAAAATAATTATGTCTATTATAATAACTATAGTAATTATTGTTTAGTATTATGTTAAGTTGTTTGAGTATTTTTTAAATACTTTTAAGTGCTTTTTTATGGCTCTTTTGACGTTTTCAAGCGCTTTTTTTTATGGATTTTAGGAACATATAAATTCGGCCCCTTCTTATAGTAAATATTTTCTATACCTTTGTATTTTAAAATTGTATAATTCCGTGTACATTTTATCTAAACTACACATTATGAACGCATATTAAAAATAAAACAATTTTGTCCAACCAGAAATGCATTTCCCACCTGCACTGTTGCTGCCGTCTACGGTTTTGTAACACATTTATGAATTTATGATTATGAAATATTTTTTATAAAACGTTCAAACGTGTATTTTTATTTGAAAATTATTATAATTTTATTGTAATATAGACGACGAACGAAATATACCGATAAATTCTCGACATGATTAACATTATAATATATTATTTATGCAATCTATAGAAGAAGAAAAAAACATAATTTATAAACGTTCGACGTATGTCGTAATAATGCTGTTTCGATGTTCGATTACGAACGCTTACGCTATTCATCAAATATCATCATCGTATTACCGAAAAACTGCCGAGCAGCAGTTAATTTTTCGAAAACATACAATATATTCTTTTATAATATTTCATTCGAATTCATTCGAAACAAACAGTCGAATTATATTGTGTTTGACTCGCTTGCGTTTGCATTAAGGGGATCGGAAGCGGTTATTTTCCGTCTCTGTCTAGCACGCGAGCAACACAGTAATTTGAATGTGTTTTAACTCCGACATATACCGATTGATCTAGTGAAACGATAAGAATTCTGGAATCAGGTTTGAATTTTTAATCGAGTCTACCATGAAATCGATATTTCCGATCAGTTTATTGTATACCTCTAAATCATGAAATAGTCATACTAAAATAACAAACGCACGTACTTCGCACAATGGATGGGTCACTGTTAGAGGTGAGAAATTGGGAAGTTAGAGAGAAAATTCAGTACGCGACGATTAACCATTGCTAACGAAAAACGATTCTGAGCGGAGTTCGATTAATAGTGTTGCTTTGTCAACATTATATAATGCATCATATTATGGTAAAATAATTGCATATTATGCATTATATATTTTCTTTAATAATATTTGTTTAATGGTGTACCTATTTTCCCGTTTTTCCTATGTTTTTTCCCGGTTTTTCCCATTTATTATGAAAACAGCTGGGAAAATCAAAAAACGACCTCCCAAAAGTATTACTTCAGTCAGATTTTCTTTCATAAAAACCGCTATAGTTGAAAATCGGAGCAAAATTGCTGGGAGAAAATTTGGCCGAAAGTCGTTCAACCTGAACGAACGATCTCTTTGTTCCTTCGACAGTTTGACTCCTTATCCGCTCTAGGAGCAAACGGATCCGAACATTTACACAAGTACGTTCGTTCGTGTTTGAACTATAATCTAAATACACCTAAATTTTATTTATCAACACTTTGTTGTCAATATAACTAATTACTATTGTGAGTTAAAAAATGACGTACAATGTTATGGATTTTTTTTTTTTTCATAAATATTTTTATGTGTCAGATATTTTTTATTTTATAAATTGTAAAAAAAAAAAAAAACGTTCTGACTCTTTCGATATGAAAACACATTCTTAAAGTGGCACAACCCGGGAGAGGAGTTAAAAGTTATATTCCCCCCCTCGCCAAAATTAAAAATTTTTTTTACGAATTATTATTATCTATTTATTTATTCACGCCAAACGGCAATTGTATACAGACAAAGAGTATGATTATTTAGTGTGCGTTTGTACTAGTTACAATATAGGCTAGCCATACATACATAAATAGTTATTAAACAAGTTAATTTAAAATAGCAATCATAGTTCAAAAATATACATTATGATTAGTTAACAGGTGATTAGATAAAGTGGTAAATTGGCCCAAGAATTGATTATTATTATTTGCATCTCTGAGCATACTATGCAGAGTATGGTTGTGCCATTAAGAGGTCTTGTGTGTCGATTGTTTCTTGAAGAATGAGAGGTAACTGTAAAATGTATAGCGGCATGGAGTTCAAGAATGTCCAGAGAACCGTTTAGAAATTATTCACAAATAATAAGAACTGTCAATATATCTGAAAGGCGCGATAGAATAGTGAGACTTTGTCTTTAGAATGGTAACCACCCCACCAGTTTCTCCTTGGTACCGTCTCTTTGATCCCTCGCTCCTTTCAGAACAGAAATCATGTACGTATACGCCACTGACTACCACCCGATGACCGGTGATGGATATAATACTATTATAACGACGCGTAAGTATAATATTGTTTACCTGATTACCGTCGTATGACCACGAACCGAATTTCATGAAACAAGTTTGTTGATCGAACGGAAAATAACGAACATCGATTTCGCACGACGATTTGAAAATGGCCGGCGGTGTCCACATGACTTTGCCGGAATGATGGAGCACCGCTTTCGTCATCGTGGTGACCACGTATTCTCCGTCGGCACTGTTGGAGGACAACAATATTACGGTTTTAATCGAACGGGTCTCGCGAATTCGTATGTCGGGTAACCAACTTGTTGTAGAGCACGATGTCCGGTAACCAAATGTGTTCCGATGGCACGTACAACTCCTGGACCCCGCCGTATTCCTGCGGCTCCCATTGGAATTTGTGATCTTCCCATTCCTATAATGTAATAATATGTTTTATTCGACTATTTACCGTCTATCCCGACAATTATACACTATATTATCGAAACGAATCGTTGTTGCAGATACGGTATGTTTACTTACGTGTTCCAGCCATACGTTTGTCGTTAATATCTGGTCCTTGAGGTTCTGAAACCAACGGAAAATCGGTTAATCGCGTTTTTTTGTGCGAAAATACCTATCTGTTCTTTTTACCACGGGTTTCAGTGTTTTTAGTTTTTTACCCACGTCTACAGTTTTCCACCTAAGTACTACTAAAAATTCTCGAAAAAATGTTCCGGCCTTGAGTTTTCACGTTGCGAGAAAAAAAAGCGCACAATAAAAGTTTCACAAATTGTACACATGAATCATTTTGAAAACCGTAATATGCAATTTTTTACCGAACCGGACGTGTCGACGACCGCTTACCCATACGGAATACGAAGCATACGGCTTCTCACAAGTATACTGCGGCGTCCAAGTGATAATTGATGCGTTTTTGAAATCGCGTGTCCAGAGTACACGGTATACTTGCGTAATCATCGTATACAGAGTGCTTGTCATTGAACTAAATAGGCGGGTGGCAATGGCGTATTCAGGAGTTTGCCAATAAGGAGAGGTAGGGGTGGGACAATATTGAATTCGGAAATTGTACGTCATATGATTGTATAACGCGTCCGTTTGCCAAGACTAAAAATACAAAACGATCAATTTTCAATAATTTATGCTTTTCGTGTTCGTCGTAGGTAATTTATAATTCAATCTGCCCTGAAATTATCTATCATTGAAATCAAATAACCACGAGGAAATGATTATTGTAATCTAACCTCCTTCATATTAGATTACAGCGGATCGGTTATTAAGTAGGTTAAACAAGAAATAGTACGCGTTCTTTTTTTCTTTTCTTTTTTTTTTACTATGTCGTCAACAACATGAACTACAGGGTGCCTCACGAAGATTTACCCATTGTTATATCTCCGGAGATAATAAAGATAATCAAATTCTATTTCTATTTTTATTTTATATATTACTCACAAGAATGAGGACTACAAATATTTTTATTTCAATTGATTTTTTTTGTGTTTGGGTAAACAACTTTGAACTTTATATCTTATTATTTTTGAATAGTTTGAAGACAGCTATTTTATAGAGTTTATAGAGTTTGTTCATCTCAAAATTTTGACGCATCAACTTCTTATTTTTTATTAAATTCATGAGTTTTAATAATTTTTTAAAGTTCAGAGAAAAAAAAGCGTACGGTTAATAATCAACCATAAATCGATTGTGATTACTGTCTGCTGTATAATTATAGGTATTTTTCATTGAACTTTAAAAATTATTAAAAACCACGAATTGAATGGAAATAAAAAGTTACAACGTCAAAATGTTCAAAAATATACAAAATGGCTATCTTCAAATTTTTCGAAAATAATACAATAAAAAATTGTTTTATATTTTTTTACTAAAACATAAAAATTTAATAAAAATATGAATATTTATAGTCCTTGTCCCTGCGAGTAACAAAATAAAAAAAAAAAAAAAAACCATAATTTGATTAAATTTATTATCTCAGTAGATATTGCAATAGGTATATCTTCGTGGGACAATGTCCCAAAAACACCCTGTATGATAATGTACATTGTGGAAACGCTAATTGAAAACACTCAATACTCAATAACTCTTTGCATAGAACCTTGCAATTCGAACTTTATTTTTCTTAGTTATTCTTACGATAAATGGTAGAGAATAATAAAACTCACGTTATTTACGTTTTACTGTTCCTATTACAGTTTCAGTAATTATTGCGAAAAATAATACGTATTTGAAATCGACATGTCAAATATAATATTAAATATCGAATAAAATTTCAATTGCCGTATCTCAACTGATTTTTGACTGAAAAATGTGAAAAAATATATCCATAATGATTTACTTTAGGGGGGTTATACCCCCTAATATGTTTTTTTTTCTTTTTTACAATTTTACTAAATTCATATTAAAATGTCAGTATTTTATCTCCGCCAAAAAAGATTATTCCTGACTCCTGAATACTTGTTCTATGTACACATACTACTTGACACTCATTTAGTTTCCGAACAATATCCATTAAATACCATTAGCAAAACGTTTGGAAATAAAACAAATAGCAACTGACATGATAATATAGATATATTTGTCAATTTTATATATTGAACCGAAGTTTGAAAAGGGTCGAGCTCCCCGGGGAAAATGTCCCAATTGCCCTCCCCCTTTAACACTGGCTCTATGCGAGGATATTGAGTATTTTCAACTAGCGATTCGACGTTACTTTTCTAACTGAAAAGTAAACAAATTTGAATTTAAAAATAAGTAGTCGAATATATAATTAATAGATATTAAAAAAAAAAATAAAATAAAATGTCAAGAGAGAAGATATATCCCCCCCCCTCGTGTAAATACACCACTGGCTGGAGGTGATCCGGTCGAAAATCGTGTGACCTCCTCGAGATAAAATACATTATAACATAATACCTATACGGTTAAGCACAGGGACGGGATTCTTGTGACATTTCGAGATTTCGACCAAAAATAGATCGTTCGATCGACGTAACGTTTCGACCGCTTATTATCGATTACCCGACCACATGGTCTCCGAACGAGAAAAAAAATCCCGCGCCCGTATTTTTTGTACCGCGCAAAGTGCCGTAATCCGACCCACCCCTCTAACTCGCCCTTCGATACGGTCGCGTCACGCGTCGTCGTTACGGCTAAAACTCCAAAAACGGCCGCTCGCTATACTTGCGTGAATATTGACTCGGCGCAGTAGTGAACGTATAGATTTCCGCAGTGGCGACCGGAATCGTATAACATAAAAAAACACGCGGTACCGTATCTCGCGAAGTTGGGGGGGGACGGAAACGGGAGACATTCGCCCGCCCCGGCTTTTCGGAATACGTTAAAAATTGAAAACGGTGGGAGAGGAAAGGGAAAAGGTTACGATTTGTCTCCCCCGTCCCTAGACGAATTTCTGCGGGCCCCCGCGTAAATCATCACGTACCAACTCTATGAGTTGCGACAGCCTGAGCCCCAGCTTGACCAGCACGGTGTCGGTGTTGTTGCTGACGGGCCGGATGAGCCGGTTGTAATTGCTGAGCAGATCGTCGTACAGCCGCTTGGCGTCGTGGTTGCACAGACACCCGGCCACGTACAACAGCAGCAACGGCAACGACTGGTGCATCCGTACCGGGCATCGGTACCGGCGGCGGCGGCCGCTGCGGGGACGACGGCCGCGATTGTCCGTGTCGGCGTCGCCGGAACTGTCGTCGTCTTTGCAGCAGGCGGCGGTCGACGGCGACATTGCGTCGCGCGCGCGAACGTTTATCGATCTGTTACGCTACCGGCCGTACGCCGGATCGCGGATGCTGTGCGTGTACTGACCGACCGCCAGGGACAGCGGCGGCGGCGACGGCGGCGGCGGCGGCAGAGTCGACGGGCGCGCCGGTGAGCTGCTCGCGACGAGAAGCGCGTTAGCTCACCGCCGATCCATAACGCAGCCGCGCGCACGCCCCTTCGAGCGTCGTGAGCTCTCGAAGGCGGCGGGCCGACGGCGGTGCGTGACCGCCGCGCCGTGACGAGGGAGGGTTCACACACTACTACAATAATAACAGAGCTTCGTTTTAGACGTTTCGTTATTACATCGTTCGACTTTCGGCGGTTTCCGATAGTATTATTGTCTTATCGATTAATTGATTTCGATAAAAAAAAAAAAAAAAACAAACAAACAAATTAATAATATAACCAGTATCGACCACCCCCCCACCCCCACCCCCGCAGCACAATATAGTTTTCGACAAAACGCCAACTACGATTTCCGCGTTATAATCATATTGTTTTCGTCCCTGTACATACGTACAAATCTAGTAATTTCGACTTTTCGATACAAACGAACGGCCGCGGTTTATTTTGCCATCGATGCAGGTAATTATTATTGTGTTAACCGTCGCGAGACTCCGATTGGTTAGCGTTAAAACCTCTAGTGCGAATCCTCCTCCTTTAGACGAGCCGCCTACAATTAAAAAAAAAATAATGTATATATATACAACGTATATAACGTATGTACACACGTTATATCCGGAAAACGTTTTCTTTTAGATTAAAAAAAAACCGTCGTGTACTTACGTCGCGTGAATTGCTGTGTACACCCGGTCAAAGTCCGAATAGATTAACAATTTTTTATTACTTTTCCGCATTCTTTGTTTTTCATAAACGGTTCTCCCGTCACGAGTGTATACGCGATCTCAAACACTAAGAAAAACTGCCTGCGGGTTTGTTTGTTTTTTTTTTTTTTTTGTTACAGTCCCGTTCAAAAACGGCTTTGAAGCTATACAAGTCACGTGAGCATTATGCGAACAATGACAATAATAATATTATGACGGTGACCCGGCAGTAAACAATTTTTTATTGTCGTTACTGTTATATGTACAACCATTTTTAAAAAGTAAATTCACATATTTATAAAGGTCGCAGAGGATTCATTTTTCATAATCGTTTCGCATGTGCAACTGTGTTACGCATAGATAATTATTAAGTATAGTATATTATGTGTGTAATAAAGTTACAAAGTTACATCTAAACACCAAATAAAAACACCTCCCTAAGGCCCTAAAAAAAAACCTGGCTACTCCATTGATCAATTCATACGTGATATGAATTAAATATGTTATTAATTAATTGACATGAGGACGACGGATGTATGCGAGGGCGATGTGAAGAATCGAGTCAATTGGGAGTTTAGGACGAGCGTGGCTGACTCCAAATAGTTGGAATGAAGGCGAAGGAAAAGATGTTATTAATTTATTTTAATTTTATTCTCTTTTGAGTATAAAAAAAGAACTAACATGATAGCAGAACACCCGTCAGTCCGTAGAGAACGACAATACTAATAACTACTTAATTTATATCTGATTAATCATTGTTAAATAAAAACGATTCTGAGCGAAGTTCGGTCAAACGTGTACTTATTAAAATGCTGTGAATTTTACGATTTCATTAAAATTTTACCATGCAAACAGCAAACGTGTGTACAATGTCCAAGCATTCATATTCGGCCAAAACCGTTCTATATCCACATAAAACCAAATAAAACTAAACCTAGAAAATTTCAAATGACTAGTGATTTCTTAAAAATAGCCAGAATGTTTTGAAAAACTTATCACGTCTAGAAATAACGAAAATAAGTATCCTGTGATAATTTTAGATATCTACGATTATTTTAAACTAAATTATAACAATAAAACTAAATTTAAAATAATGAAACCGTAAATTTTTCCGGTTTTTCTAATTATTATGAAAATACTACTAAAAATTTTACCTCATCTATCATAAAATAGTTTCAGTTTTCTTTTAGAAAACATATTTTCTACGATGCTACACTTGAAAATTGAAACAATATTTTTGGTAGAACAGTTGTTGACAGACAGAAAACAAACTCATCATAATAATATGTTGCGCTCAGAATCTAAAAATAGAAAGACTTTTTTTTTTTTTTTGAGGGTAGAATTTTGATATTTTAACTGATTTCGTCCTCCCCCTCCCCCATTTGAACTTTTTAAATTATATTAATTTATTATATTTTTGTATTACATTTGTTAAGTTTTATAAATTCAAATTCAATACGCGTCATATTATCGTTATTAGAATACAATTATTTATTATTTAACGATTTTAAGAAAAACCAATGCAACAAATCAGGTAGATATCTCAAAAAAATTATTTTCTTATAGTTTAAGTTTGCCATCAGTTTTTTTTTTTTTTAATAAAATTTGAGCAGTTTTTGCGTACTTGACTTCTAGTGTCATTTATCGAGAGACTTAGGTTTGAGTGGTTTAACCTACCTGTCAAACGATTTATAACGTGTAAACATAATTAATTGAAGTAGATAATACCTACAACGCTTTTAGTATCTGTACTTATGGTAGGTACCTATGAACATAATCATAATTAAATTTTCACTTTTTAGCGTTCATTTTAAAAGCGATTAATCTTAATTATAAAAACTAATACCTCGCAAATAAAAAAAAAATTAAAATAACAGTTAAAAATCATTTCCGGACTCATTATTTTTGTTTAAACTAATAGATGCAACCATTAATTATAGCCGTAGGTATATAAAATAAAAAAAAAACTTCACTACTATAAATTATAATGGAAATGAGTATAGTATTAATGGTATTATAAATAATATTAATAATTTTCTAGATTCCGTAGGGGTCTAACAGAACCCTATTGTTGTTGCAACTTTGTCCGTCAGTCTGCCTGTTTGTCTGTTTATCTTTCAGTCTATTTATTTGCCTGTCTGTCCACCTCAGAGACTTTTAATATCTACACACAATGGGATATCGACTTTAAATGCACTCATAATTTTACTCGGATATTGGCCACTTAAAAAACAAATTATGAAAATAGTGTATTACACAGTAGAAGAATTTAACGAAAAAACATACTTAAATGAACATGTTATTATTGTTTTGTTTCGTAAAGTTAGCATCATCGAGTTGTGATAATTTCTTATCGTGATTCAAATGTCTTACATTTAATTTGTAAAGTTGTCCATAGTCCTCAGTGCGCTGGTCTAACTCTCGCACTTAACCTGTTTTGAGTATACTTTAAAAAGTACCTAATGTAATAGAATAGAAAATATAGACGTTGGGTGATATATTTTTGGTAGAATAAAATAAAATACATTGTAGGGTGGTAGTGGTGGTCGGGACGTGGGTAGTAGATATACCTATAATATAAATAATAATATGATGTGATATATATTTAGTGTGTGTGTTTGTTTGTGTGTATGTGTGTGTGTGTGTGTATGTTTCGAAACGATAGTCGTTGGCGAGGTGAACAAGGAAATATTATATTGTGCTGTGTTGCCACTTTGCGCTAGTAGCCGAACACGAGCTAAGATTTGATATACGAATTATTGTTTATAATATTATAAAATTGTATAATGTGTATGATTATCACGTATTGTTCGAAAACGGTCCCACCATGTATACATTGTGTGTATTTAAATAAGAGTACTTATTGATAGACGAACGGTACCTATCAGAAAAATGATTAGCCCTGACGAAATGTCCTAACTCTTAAGTACTATTCTGCTACGAGAATATAGTAATTTTCACCTATCTCAGTGATCTGAAAAACTGCTTGAAGTTCGTTTGGTGACATATAAGGAATACAATTTTAAAAGGGGGTAGATCTGGATAAATTGTTATACAGGTGTAGAGGATGGAATATTAGTATTATTATTTATTAGTAAGTGTACAGAATATTGATTAATCGTCACAATGTGTACACTACATATTATTATGTAATTTACCGAAAGTAAACGCGAATACTCTAAATACGACACTTGGACGTGGACCCAGGTTACTGACGCCTTTTCCAAAGATATGGACACTTGTTATAATTAACACCAAATTAGTCGAAAGTCAATGACTAACCGTTTATATTTCAGCAGGACACGATAAAGAAGTAACGTGTTTAAATGTATGTCAAAATCAAAATAGCAAACTAAAATAGTTATTTAGCTAATCTGTTAGTTGGAAAATATACAATTAACAGGTATGTAAGGGTACGGAGCACCAGATACAATAGCTTGCCTTCGGTTCTACAACTATACTGAACAGATGTGGAAAGGTATACCGAATACGGCAGCCCGCCTCCGGTTCTGCAACTACTGTGTTTGGGGGAGAGTTTAGGCAGGTATGGAATATGGATGAATGAGGAAGGTAGAACAAAATAAGCAAAAATGCTTCTGCTAGGCGGACCGAGAGAAGTCCGGGGGAAATGGCGTGTAGAGTGCCTTATATGCCTTCCGTGCACCCCCACTCTAGTGACACAGTGGATTAGAGTGTAGCGTCCCTAAGTGGTGATACACGTAATTAATATATTAAATTAGAGTGTGGCGCGCTGGCGCACCTAGGCGGTAATGCGTGTTATTAACAAATGTTATTAGTTTGATGGTGATAGTTGTGTCACCATTAGTTAAGTATACTGATTGATTAAGTATGATAATGACAATAATGTCGAATTCGATCGTTTATAACAAATTTTAAATAGGTTTTCAACGCATTACATTAATATTACTGATAGGTACCTAGTTTTATCTCAGCTATGAATAATATGCCTACAAAATCGTATTGTATTTAAATATCAATTTGTATTCGTCAATTATCCGACAAAACCAATCAATTTATCGCCTTGTGAATTTGTATTTTATTAATTATCTCCGTAACTACGCCTTTTTCCATTTAAGTTGAACCCTAAAAATATATTTTACTCGCCCAATTTTATTCTGTT